ACTATGGTTAAAATGAAATGTGTGTTACCGCACTAATCGGAATATTGGTTATAAAAAAATTAAGAGCACTAAACGAAAATGCATTAATCGAGGGATCCCTGTACTTTTAAATTAATGTTTTATGATGGGGTCCACTTGGACCATGGAAGAGCAACTATGGAAATTTTTCACAAAAGACTAACGTAGGGTTAAAATAACTACTGGGCCAGAAGGATTTGTTTGATTTCATATAATCATGCAAAGCTACTCAAGAGCTATCTGTCCCAAATATTTAATAAATAGATTGGAGAGAAGAAAGTTAGTCAGCATCATCCACCACCAATTCTTGGGTTACTCTTGCCTCACCAAAAAGTGGGATCTGACTATCACTCTTACAATGTACATGTTGCTTCAAAGTGCAGAGTGAGATATCTTTTTTGCATTAAAAGAAAGTAAATGATGGATCCACAAATCCATAGTCTGGCATGCTAACCACTAGGCCTTGCTTTGACAAAAAGGAAAATATTAACTACTTTATTATTGCATTTATTTTTTCAGGGCAGTTTTAATAAAGAAACATAAGGAAAACTTTGGAAAATTTATGTTTAATAAACATAAATGGCTGAAAGGAACACTTTTTATCAGTTGATTAGCAATTCAATAAAACTTTACATAATGTTTTTGTCAAAGGTACACATGCAACACCAATCTCCTGAAACAAGGGTCAATTACTCAATGTGATCAATAAGTCATTAAATTATTACAAGTTTGGAATTACACAGTGCTATTAAGTTAAAGTTTTTATTCAATACCTAGTTTTATCCACTCTTTTAAATTGTGTCAATAATTTATTACAATTAGTTTCTTAATTTCCTATAATTGACCCTCATCACTTGAAAAACTTTTTCTTGTGCATATTTTATGACAATTGTTAGCTAGAAAAGAACAAAAAACTTGAGGTAACTTCATAACAAAACTTTATTTTATTTTAATAAAAATGAAAGAAAAAATGTCTAACTCTTGTGTAAATAATTGCCATAACCTTTACATTTGTTTAGAACATAAAATTATTTACTGTGTCACCACAATGATGAATTCCGATCAATGCCTTTAACTGAGATAGAAATACTTTCATCACTTGTTTCACATCCAGATACACAGTGGAGGGTAATGCACTACCCTCTGTTGGAGGAGGAATATTGTACACGTAAAACCCTCCCCATCGTGCAGAAAGGAAGGAATTTGTTGTGAGACGTTCACCTTGAAAAGAAAACCAAAAATATTCATGACAGAGAAGTATATATAAAAACTGCCATTCATTTGAACATCTATATAAGGAAAAAAATCTCAATACCTAAAACACACAAAAAAGTAACATGAAATCAGAAGTAAAATAATAAAGTTGACACAGTTTAGCTAGCCAGGAAATATTTCATTTGGTTTAATTATAAAAACTGCTCCAGTTTATCTACAAACAGCAAATTTTCTTATTTCACTGAAATTCTTCAAAAATACTTTATTCATATAGATATACTAGTTGTAAATTTACAACTGTAAATAAATATAAACTGAAAACATGGTATTCACAATTTGTTGTTAAAAATAAACTGTAAAAAGAAATAACTTTTCTTTGCATTTTTGGAAAAGTTTAGTTTGTTTTCAAATTTGTGCAATACTACTGGAAGGCTATCTCCTCTTTTTATAAAGCAAAGACTCTCAGGGCTATTAAAACCTACATTACTTTCATATGATGTAATATATTAAAATCATCATGCTGAAGGGATATATATGATTGCAGTAACTGTACCATTAAATGTCTGTATTTTCAATACACAATAATGTGTGTGGAGTTACCAAAAATAAAATATTTTCAGAAACTGATAAAGTACACTGGTGCCCTGCTATAGCATGGAAGTCAGTATAATACCTGTCCATCTTAGACTGGCCAATGAGAGGGCAGTTTCATGACTAACTAAGAGGCTTTGCCAATGAAATTTCCACATCTTAATTGAACATAGTTTTTCTCTGTATAAATACAGGTCAAATGTTTGTTACCAGACATCTGTTTGCTTACATCAAATCAGATGGTTTATCAGTTTATTTGTAATTTTGCATTATTCTGGTTACTGGCTTAGCACTTTTGAAAAGACGTTGTTATAATGCAGTCTCGCAATATGGACCTCGTTATAGTGAGGCTCCACTGTATTATCATCCTCCAAAACAAATCCCATTGATAGCTATTCTGTAGACCAACTTACACAGTACTACATCAAAATATTGTATCAATATTAAGTTTATATGAAAAAACATGTTATTACCAACACTCAAAAACTTTAAACAAGGAGAGAGAGAGTGAGAACAATTTGTATTCACTGTACCTGCTTGGAGTGTATGTAAAAGTTGATGTAGCTTTGGTCTCTGTTCTAAGGCATTAATGTGAAAAATCAAAATATTTCTCACTTGTGGCAGTTTAAGTTATAAAAATGCCTTACTGACAGTGGAATATAAGAAGTCTTGAAGATTTCAATAACAAGCTCAAAAAATAAAAAGCTGTATTACCACACACTGATACACTCCATGCAGGTACAGTCTATGAAAACTTCAAATCCAACAGTTTACTCGGTCTTTAACTCTTCAAGAACAATATAAGAACTAAAGTTACCTTTCTCTGTGTAGATTTGTAAGGGAAATACTTCCTTAGGTGGCACATATGTCACAAAATTCAAGGTTGGATTTAGTGAAGAATGAGATCCTGATAGTAAAGAATAATTTACTTTTATGATACATCATGTGAATTACATCTAAAATAAATACAAAAATTATTAATGCCAGATATGATATTCTACATGTAACCAAAGCAATACAACTTATTTAATGTGTAAATATATATGTGACATTACACTGATAACACTTGCTAGTTTATTAAACTGAAAATTGCTTCCCATTTTTTAATAAAGAAAAGGTAAGTAAATGCTACAAGCAAATATACCTGTACATTTAAATACATACATGTGGCTTAATAAATGTGTATCAGTATTTCTTTAGAAGAACTGCTTCAAGACTTTAATCATAGTTTCCAGAATGAATAAGGTTTGTAACACTACCGAGTGTTCCAATCTGTTTTTTTATATATTAGTTTTAAACAAACCAAAAGTTAATATTGATCATCTGCATAAATAAAATTAGAAAAAACAGTAATAGTTTTTGATACAAGTCCACTTTGGATTGCAAGGATGTTAAGTATGGCAATGTCCAAACTAATATTTGTATGTTAAAGTTATTTTACACTAATTATACATGTGTGCAACACAGTAAAAATGAACCCTGCTTCTGGGTGACAATTTTTATTTATCTTATAAGTGCATTATAAATTTCTATGGTGTCCATAGTTCCCAAAATGCTGAGTGTTAAACACATTTTTATCTGGAGAAAGAAGCTGTTTGTGTATTCACTGCATGAAAAACATCAAGTATGAAACCCCAGCCAACATTCCATAAAATAAAAATAGAAGTTTCAAAGCTTACATAAACAGCCAGTGCTTCTATTTTCAAAGACATCATTGCACTGACACCCACAAGCATCTATATATGATATTTTGTATGTGCTTTTTATAGCCCCATCAGTAAATGATATGAAGCCTGCTATTTTCACAGTCACAGGAGAGAAATTTAGAAAGAATCAGAACAATACAATATTATCACATTTAATGGAAATAATCTTGTATAACACCATGTCATAAATTTTTCTGTGAAACCTCTGGTGACCCTGTTGTTATGCATACACACAACGTTTTGACCGATCTCTTGATCTATCCAGTAATTATAGTTTTATCTGCCATAGTATATAGTTCATTATAAAAAAAATGTTGAAATTATTTGAAGAAACTGTGACATTACTTTAGCAACTTAAAATAACTGATTTGTTAACTGATGCTTTTAATGTACATTTCAAAAACATTAACCATGATCTAGTTGTGTCACCTTGTTGAACTACTTCCCATTTTGAGGGAGTATTAGTATATGTGTCACTCTTATTGTTGCATACCTATCCTCCCAATATTTAAACGTTTTTGAAACTACAACTGGGAAGAAGAAAAAACTGTTAACAGTTCCCATGGACTGTTTGACATTATGCTCACTGTACATTTTTCAAATATGAAGCACTGAAGAATAAAGAGGAAGAAAATTACAGACATATATCAATATTCTCCTATATCAGTGGTCTTTCTAAAAAATAAAAAAGATGATACGTCAATGACATAAAGTCAAAACAGTATTCAGATGCCATAAAACAACAAGATCACAGTTAGTACACACCAAACCACCTAAATACACAAAAGAGGAAAAGCACCATTTACAAACTCCCCTACGAATGTGGATTTCAATACATTGGAGGAACAAAAAATAAACAAAAGTTGGAATTCAAAAGTATAATAGTATAAAGCTCAGTAATACAGATCTATTTTTAATAGCCCATCATGTCAGAGAAAACCATATAATTAAAAGGAATAACACTAAAGTAATAGAATATAAATCACATATTAGGAAAAAAAGCCTTCTACATCTACCTAACTGGTAACATATTCTGTCAACCTAGCAAAGAAGTCAGCAAACCTGGATACCCCTCTTTAAAACAGATGATTCAAGTTCTAATGGCTTAGACCCCAGTCAAGTGTAATTCCACCAGAAAGACCCATGACCACTATCAATACAGAAAATAGCCCTCCTCAGGACTTCACTGAATACAGCAGCAGATTAGTAGCTGAAATGTAAATAAAATCTAGTTATTAATTAATAATTAGACTTAAATGATCACATGCATAGGCTATTAACCATGACAATGATTGATGTCCAACTTTACCTTAAGTAATCAACACTGAGATAGGAAAAATTAATTAACTTTAATTGTCATCTGAGTCTGAATTGTACAGGTTTTGGCATGTACATCATCTTTACAGTTACACACACCAGTGTGTTGCTAAGATATAAAGCTAGAAAGTTAAAATTTTGCTAAAGTGAAAATATATTCCTGATAGATACTTACCTCCTCTCACAATTACAGCTATTCTCGAGTTGCTGCTCTAGTGCACAAATGTTCACTCACCACTTAAGTCCACACATATACCATGTGGTTCAGCTGCATTTACGTATGCAACAACCCTCCACCAATAGGAATCTGAAACACCCTCCTATCACAGTTGAATCCCTCTATGTAGTTGAACCCAGTTGTCACTCCGAGATTAAATACAAAAAACAACACTGAAAGTGGGGAGGATGGGTAGGAAGTGCGAGTGGAGGTAAGTATCTATCAGAAATATATTTTCAGTGTAGGAAAATATTAACTTCCAATACAATTACTTTTCTCCTCTCACAGTTACAGCAGGTGGAGGGATCAGAGTAAAATTACCAAGATGAGCACCTTTTAAAAGCATATGAAAAGCATCCATGGAGTGTGGCATATCACATCTGAACCAGGTATATTCTTTGCCCAAGTGGAGCGAACTGGTGTATGTCACAATCAAATGGTGGAACAAGTGAACCATCTCAAATCCAAGAGGAAGAGGAATGTGTGTAGAGTGGCTATGGAATGTTGGACCATAATCAGGAGGTCAACTCCAGTCCAGACCAGTGGCACTGAGAGGTACTTGACTGGCTCCTGGCAAGAGGAGGGTTCTCAGTCATTCACCTCAGGTATAGGAACTAGAAGTGAAGGGAAGCCTCTGTCTTGAGAACTTAAACCAACACAACCTGGAATAATAAACCCTGGAAATGTAGATCCAGATGACATCAGGAAGGTGGAAATAAACTGTGAAGTGTCAATTCCAGTCCAAAACCAATCGGAATTGGGGATGCAACATCCAGTCCTCAGTAAAAGGAAGTTACCAGCCCACTCATATGTAAGGACTTATGTTGGCTGGTCCAGCTCCAGCCAAAACCAGTTGCACAGGAACTGACATCCAGGAAGCAGTAGAAAAGAGGATTCCCAACTGGAGGGGTGGACTGCAAAAAAAACACCAGACCTGCAGCAGGAGGATACTCACACCTTCCACACAGGCAGAACACCAGCATCCTACTTCATCCATGATCCACCACCCCAGCAGCTAAGAGTTGGGAAAAGATAAGGACTCTCGTACTTCACTGGAACAAAAGGGTGGGGGGCAATCTAAGGAACATTGGAGATGTTCATATTATTCCATAAGTGTAAATTCTGGTATGAACATATTTATGACACAATATACTGGGAAGAAGAACCTGCAAGCAGTGAGCATGATAGATCTTATAGATCTCACAGTATAGATTTTGGATATCAGTATACATGGACACTGGACAGGCACCATTTGCCACAGAGCGTGATCCATAACATGTGAAATAGGTCCCTGAAAAAAACAAAAATAGCTTACCCACTTAAGAGTTGTACTGATGTATGGAGAATGGCTGCAAAGGGAAGATGATATCCAGCTGAGCAGGAAAGTGCCAGATGGTGAAAGTAGCATGACACAAAGGTGTGGGGAGTGGTCTACATGCCAGCCTGGATAACCTCCTCCAAAAAACGACAGAAATGAGTAGTCAAGGCCATTGGGAGGTGATAGATCAGATGGCAAGATTCAGGAGAAAGAGAGGAATACTTAATACAGATAACCTGATGAACCCAGGAGAATACCACTAGAAGTGGACAGCAGATTGCTATGAATAAAAACAGAAGTAAGAGTCATGGAAGGGTGTTGTGCACATTATGTAACACTGTAAAGCATGGACTGGACACAGGAGGTAATATGCATCACAGCAGGAGTAAATATGAGATATGGAAGTTAGGGAAAGAACTGGAGAAGAAAACACATGGTAAAACAAAGGGAGATGACAGGGCCACCCTATAGCTTGTAATGGTTGAAAAGTACAGATCCCTGTCAAACAATCATGTAAAAACAGATATGTGACAAAGGGAAGGAGAGGAAGGGTAGACTAATGAGGAATGGACAGTGTGAGACAAGGATACTACATGCATGGATAGTTCCAAACCCCTCACAAGGGAGTAAACATCAAGCCGGAGTGCGAGAATGAAAGGATGAAGCACCACTGAGTGAGGTTGCCAGAGGAGGGACTGGGAGAGAGGAAGACGTAATGGAGGTTGTTCCTGGAGAAATGACAGAGAAGGAAACCATGGTTGAGCCAGCCAGAAAGGAGCCAACAAAAAAAAAAAAAAGAACCTGACATGGAGTGGAACTGGATGTAGCTCACATTACTCTATTGAATTATATAATGTCCAGGCTACTCATGAGTTGCTCGTGAGCCTACCTCGTGAAAAATTATTATTCTTTATTTTATCTAATCTGAACTTATCAAACCTAAAAGGCTTCCAATTCTTAAATTTTAGTTACTTTTATAAAAATAAATAAAGAATGTATATGAAAAATAAGAAATATAGTACTTAACTAGGTCTTTTCTTTTTTTTTGGAACTTTACTGTCGATGAAATTTAACCCACCTTTTATTTATACTAATGGTACTACTGCACAAAATAATCTTTTATCTAATTAAATAATACACCAAAGAACACAGAATAATAACACACAAAAAGCAGATATTGTCCTATAACTATCACAATTTTTTTTGCTTTCCAATTATGCAACAAAAGCTGTTAAAAATTCAGATACGCTCATTGATGCATTTCCAGTGGGAATAAAGTTTGAACTGAAAGTGAATTCTCTGTACAGAATATGAAATATGTCATTTGATAGATAAAGTTTGGCATTCTA